AGACATGAAACACACGAAGGGCAAGGGAGACTTCACAGGGGTTGAAAACACAAGAGGGAGCTAATAAGCAAATGAACATAAAAATCTAATGAGCTTAAATATGCACTATAAACATCAAAATGAACTAAAACTCAAAACGCTGGGTCATAAGACCCAGGATCGTGACACCCGGGTTGTTTTTTCAGAAGCCCGGGGTCTTTTGGAGTTTAATTTTGTCATAGTTCGATTCCTGGCTGACAACTGTATAAAACAAAAGCTACACACAATATTCAAGCACATAGTGCACACTGTGGGAATTTATGACTGTGCGTAAATCCCCCCTAATGTGGGTATGATCCGAGCTCAGATACTAAGCGACTGAGCGAGGGGGCGGGGGGAGCTGGTGCCTGCGAGTGCGCTGTTGGAGAAACGCAGCCAGGCAGATTATGATGATTTGTCTTTTGTTGCGAAGGTGAACCTGCCAATTAGGTTTGGTATGATTTACCCTCCTGAGATAAGGAGCACGTGACATGACTTAATGAGGCCTTTTTATTCCTTATTTTGTTACTTTCACAGTGCACTGAAAGTTTTGTTTGATAATCTGTCGTTTGAGCAGATATGCACGATTAGAACGGAAAGCACTATACAACACATTGTCGGGAAAATAGTTGCAAGTGAGCTTTTCCAAATTAAAATGGCTTCTGGAGAAGGCCACTTATTTGGGACGCCATCAGAGAAGGAGTCTGTCAGGGCTCTGTGTGCGGGCAGGCGGAGATGAGGATCCAAAAGCAGGACTCGAACACAGAATTGTAACTCAAAACCTCAGCTTCATTGCTGGCATGAAAACAAAACATGACGTAAACACTGAGACCAAAAACACACAGGTATAATCTGAGGGTACGACACAACACTGAACAAGGGCAAACACAGGGCTAATATACACAGGGAAGTAATCAGGGAATGGAAAACAGGAGGGAGACACAGCTGGGAGAGATAAGGGCTAACGAGACAGGGGGAGCAAAGCTGTACACACTGACATGAGACACAATCCTTCAACATAAAACAGGAAACAATACATAAGGACACAGACTGAGAACACGACTTTATATGAGCAGAATAAACACAAACTAAACACGACCTAAGAACTAATCTTTCACCAAAAATAACAGAAATATAAAGTTATCATAATAATCAAACACCAGAGAAACCAAAGACAAACTATGAAGCAAAAATAAACCAAAACATCAGGAACTCAAAATGCTGGGTCGAAATAGACCCAGAATTTAGACCGGTCTAAAAGGATTCAGCGAGGTAATCCGATCTAAATTCTTCTTTTTCTTTTTTAAATGGCGTCATATTGCTGACGGTGAGAAACTTAATGTGACGACAGATTCTACTGCCAGCAATGAATAAACAATAAAAAAATGGGGACCTGACTGGACTGACAGGAGTTGACTGAGTTGCCTGACTTAACACCAACATGCAAGATATGACAAAGGGGTGAATATATGAATGTGTGTTTCTCTGTTTTTGCAGGTGCAGGCGGATGACAGAGTCCAGAGGGGGGGGCCAAAGGGTCACATGAGAATGTGGGCCCTACAGATCTAACCATTAACTGCAATTTTTGTGTGAAGGAAAACGTGTTTACAGGCTATGTGTTGGTGATGCAATTAAACTATGCTGTTGGGAAAATGTTGAATATTACTGTGAGCATGTGTATTTAATGTGAAACACATACTGTGTTAAAATCGGTATCACTCCTTTCACAGAAAAGGAGGGTTGACCACATGATTTACAGCAGCACCTCTGGAATCTGTTGATCCAGGCCTGACCTCCACGACGCTCTAAGGCTAATGTGTTGTTTTTCTCTAAGAGTGCTTGTGAAGGATTCAGCAGGGACAGACAAGTGACATTAGAGCACATGTGCAGTGATTAAAGGACATTTTTAATGTTGGGCTCATTATCGGACTACTATTGAGCTCATAGTGATGAAATGAGTCACATTATAGCAATAGTAGTGGGTTGAATAACTTGAAAAAAAAAGAAAAAAAAGAAACTGCATATAACACTTGTCTTTGTAGTGCTGAATACTTTATTACTCTTATGATCTACAGTTGTTTGCAATTGTGAAGTTTGATTTACCTTACAGATTTGTCTTCTAGGATACAGGCTCCAAGCGGAGCTGGGAGTTGAACAACAACTGAAAATCACTGGCTAATGTTTTCCTTATGAAAGGGTTGCAGGCTTGGAGTACAGCTGCTCCGAGGGACAAGCCCTGGGAATCTTTAAGAGAGAATGTGCAACTTTCTTGTGTATGTCTACTTGTGTGAAGCTGACACATGGCAAGGGCCATGTGGCAAAAGAGGGTTTTCTGGGGAGTTGTCATTGTTTAAATTACAGGTTGAACGAGGTGAAGTGATGGAAGAAGAGACTGAGATGCAGATGTAGACTGAGGCTATGACAGAGATGACAAGAGGATCAGTGAGTGGAGAACGCCTCCAGCTGACGACCCGCAGAGAGCTGTGCCACTGGGCTTCCTAAAGAGCATCGACAGGAGATGGTGGACAACAGAATGGGCTGAAGGATAGGGGGAGCGTGCCAAGCTCCAATCGACAGCGCAGAGGAAGTTCAGGGATGGCATCATGATTCCGTAAACAACACAGAAACCAGAAGCTATGGCGGTGACGGGAAATGACTGACGGCAATTTTCCAAGGATTATAACCTAATGCTTTTTCACTGTGCTATGCTGAGGTTGACACTCTACAGAGAGTCTACCTTTGTGTCATTGCTGTTGTCATTTGCATCATGAACACTTCTACAAAACTGCTGCTGAAATTTTGAGCCATGGGCATGGTCATGACTCAACAGGAGGGAGCAGCATAACAGCAGTAAAACAGAAACAGCTGGATCCAATTTCCTTTTAATTATTCTGTGTCAAAACTGTGCCAGGTATGGAAGGAATGAGAGTACTGGTGGATTGGTATTTCCTGTGTGGACAACAAAGCATACCTGTCACTCCCAGAAGGTTGGGGAGGATTGTGTGCCTTGGTAAAACTGAGTGATCACATGGAAATCAACAGATATGCACTCCTGAGGCATACAAATCTTACCAAGGTCCTGGGAACGGCCTTGGCAGAGGAACAGAAGACTATATGTACGATGGTGTTGCAAAACAGACTGACGCTGGACCTGATAACAGCATCCCGAGGTGGGATGTATAAGCTAATTGGTGAGACGTGTTGCACATTTATCCCAGATGGATACTCCACTGGCGGCGACATCTATGAGGCCCTAAAGAACTTAACCGTGCTGCAAAGGTATGTGGCAGATCACATGCCAGGAGCCTCAACACAGGATGACCTTGCATGGCTGACTTCTGGACCATGATGGCATATGCTACTGTAGATCTTGACCCCAGTATTTGTTGTTTTACTCTCTATGTTTGTTGCAGTGACCTGTATTCTCCCTTGCATTAAGAGCATGGTACACAGTAAAATTCGGAGTGTTAAAATAACACTTAAAGAGTTACATTTTTATTTGGTCCCATTCGGAATTGGTGTTAAATCAACTCTTTCTATAGTGTAAAAATTTTAGAGTAAGATTAACTCTAAATAGAGTAAAAATTCAACACTGAGTAACACCGCAGAGTGTTAAATGAACCTAACACTACTAGTAGTGTCATATTATTTACTCTATCATAGTGATAAATTAACTCTATTTGAGTAAAATTCCACTGATTTTTTTAACACTGAATTGAGTTATTTGAAATTAACACTAGGGGTTCAAAGAACTCTGATGAGAGTTGATGTTACTCTATACTGTGTTATTCATACACTAATCTCTTGTGAAAAATTAGCTCTCATAGAGTAAAATTTTAAATGAATTTTACACCAAGTAGTGTTACTAAAACTCTTCCTGTAGTGTTACCTTTACACTCAATTTAGTGTTTTGCAGCATGAAAACCTGGTTTCTAATAATGCTTTAAAATATAAAACAAGTAAGCAAAAACCACAACTAGATAATACGTTTAACGGCTTTATTTTGATGTCAGGCTCAAAATATTAAAACATCTCATGTAGTGTACATAAAACACTACACACACAAAAA